GTTCGACGGTTTGTTAAACTCTTACAATATTTAAAGTAAATGGGAACAATAATAACTTATCAGGTAGGAGAATTTCATTCAATAGGGTTATTTGTCCCTTAATTGTCAAAATTTGTTAGCCAGAAATGAATAAAGTAAATTAAAGAAGATAATCGAAAAAAGATAGGTGTTTTAAAGGAGAAAATAAGAAGTGTAGGTGATGAAATATTTCACGTTCCTAAATTTTTACCGCCTCAGGTCCAAATTCATAAATCTGTCACTATCTACCCTTATTAACCATTTCCCAAGCAATTTCGCTATTTTATTATGAAAATATGATTATATCCATTTATAAATTCACAAAATTTCGATGAACATTTATTTTTGTCGCTTACTCACTCCTAGGATTGATTAAAAGCACATCAATCAAAATCCGAAACAAATCGATTTTAGAGTTTCGCATTAAACGAACAGGTATTTATATAGATGTTTAAGTGTAAGACGTAGATTCACCATCACTTTCTCAGACACGCATCTAAGTCAAAGAAAAAAATGATACAAAAACTAAAATATATTGTGATAAAGGTATGTATTTTCCAAAAGTCTGATAAAATATAATAAATTTAGTATAGTTACAAAGTCGGTATATTTTAAGATAACAGATAAAAAGTTCATTAATGTCCTGTTAGGAAATTCGAAATAGTAATACCATTATTAACAGAATAGTATAGATGTTCCAACATACTGACACATTTGATCGTGATTTTGCAATTATTGCTTCGTGTGCATCCATAATTATGCTTGCTGTTGACAGAGTATCCCTGAAAACCATAACAAATCTAGTTTAGTGACTTTTTGACTATTTACATATGAATGATTAATCCTGAAGGCGTTACTGGTTGAAACGTTATAAATAATACCTAATGAATTAAATAAGGTATTCAATTTTGCATATCTTACCCTTTGTTTCTCGATGAGTTGGTACTGGATAGAACTACTGTTACGTTTCCACTGAGAGACTTAAACGAAGAAAGTGACACTGAAGTAGAATAATTTCCCTTATTAAATATAAAAACGTAGGTGTCGTTCCCATCCAACTCCCTCGTAAATGCCAAAACGTAAGTGGCTAAAACCTCTACGTTCAAATTTCCATAAATTAATGTATCTTCTTTTCTTAACTTCATTAAATCTTGGTAGACATGAAAGTGACTTTTTACACCATCTTTACTTTGCAGTTCAAGATTGTTGGTTTTATATTTTGAACTGACGGGCAACCAAGTTTTATTTCCCGTGCTAAATCCTGCGTTAACACTCGAATCCCAATGGAACGGAGTCCTCTCAAAATCTCTGCTTACAGTCTTGAAATCTGATTCGAGTCCATTGCAAGCGCCCGGATCTTGTCCTTCTTCCCATGTTACTTCTCCATTTTCCATTCCAATTTCTTCTCCGTTATAAGTGACCGCTATACCTGGTAGAAAGGCTACCATCATATTGTATCCGTCTACATTCTCAACTCCAAGACGGGTCGCTACTCTATCTCTATCGTGGTTTCCTAACTAAAACCCAATAAGGAAACAATATTCACCTAATACGATATGTGATAGAAGAAGTAGAAGAAGAAGCAATTAAGTAACTGTCTTTTTTATACTGAGTCACGTGTCGCTTGTGAATTCTTTGAAGCTATAGACTAATCGATTGACGTGCAAAAAACAAACTACCATGTTTATAGATATCTTCTTACCACCCAATTAGATACATGTCCGCTTGGCATGTGTTGAAACCATTTCTTTATTACCGAAATAATCTCATTTGCAGTACTGTTGTATTCGGTATCGGTTATGATAAAGAAATTGAAAGGAAAATGAGCTCCTTCAACTGTTCCATTGCCATAATGTAGCATATCGACGCTTATATTTGAATATGCTTCGGTCATGAGCACCCTATGGAAAGGGAGTTTTCAATTACATATTTATTCTAACAAGAAGTAACCGTAAGCTTCAAATATTCTGCAATATTTTTCAGTTATCATTATCATTTGAAGTCTTACTTATTTTTATGGACAGCCGTATTCATTGGAGATAATAGTTAATAATGAAAGCAAAACGAGCAGGTTAGTCAGTTTATTTAATTTGGTTTCTAGGTTTCCACTGATTAAGACTTCAGTTTAATACACAATTGTGCTCGTGGGAGATAAAACGTTATGGAAAGTTTTATGAAAAAGTTTTTTTGTTATTGTTTTAATTTATCATTTTGGGTTGATGAAAATTTTAATTACTTCGATAAGTAGTTTTACTTATTGGAGATAATAAGTGAATTCATTTTTTAATTGATTATTTATCTACCCTTTAGTGTTGCTCATTAAGTAACTAAATAGTAATCCATCAGAAAATAGAACGCAGAATTACTTTTAGAACCCCGAGATATTTATTAACCAGGAACCTTTCGTAGATGGTGGAACACAAATGTGAATCTCACATAAATAAAGCAGAAGGTCACTTCTAAGACACTCCTGATAGTAAGGATTTGATTAGAAATACAAATAAAACTGCTGCCGAAAATATTTTAACTGAGAAAGGTGTAAAGCAATATGATTTCTACTAGTAAAATTTTGAATTATTGCATGAAATCGACAACGAGCTCAAGTAAAGTATCAAACATTTTAGGTAGCGTACTTCAGAACAGCATTAGTTTCGTAATGTCAGTTCTTTGCCCTGTTCCATGATCTATCCTTAAAATTATCGTATTAATGGCTACAGGCGCGACAATCAACCAATTAACCCCACAGCAGTGAACAATTAATATTATTCTGATAACAAGGGATGGGAAATTTTATTTTAAAAAAGAAAACCATTATTTTTTGAGATTTTATGTCATATTTCCATGCTCAGTTTGACGGTTTGTTAAACTCTTACAATATTTAAAGTAAATGGGAACAATAATAACTTATCAGGTAGGAGAATTTCATTCAATAGGGTTATTTGTCCCTTAATTGTCAAAATTTGTTAGCCAGAAATGAATAAAGTAAATTAAAGAAGATAATCGAAAAAAGATAGGTGTTTTAAAGGAGAAAATAAGAAGTGTAGGTGATGAAATATTTCACGTTCCTAAATTTTTACCGCCTCAGGTCCAAATTCATAAATCTGTCACTATCTACCCTTATTAACGACTTCCCAAGTAAGTTCGCTATTTTATTATGAAAATATGATTATGTCCATTCATAAATTCACAAAATTTCGATGAACATTTATTTTTGTCGCTTACTCACTCCTAGAATTGATTAAAAGCACATCAATCAAAATCCGAAACTGAAATCGATTTTAGAGTTTCACATTAAGCGAACGGGTATTTATATAGATGTTTAAGTGTAAGACGTAGATTCACCATCACTTTCTCAGACACGCATCTAAGTCAAAGAAAAAAATGATACAAAAACTAAAATATATTGTGATAAAGGTATGTATTTTCCAAAAGTCTGATAAAATATAATAAATTTAGTATAGTTACAAAGTCGGTATATTTTAA